ATCTGAATTTTACTTCATGGCACGAATAGAACAAAAACACTGTGATGTAACATGCTGCGAAAAAGCGACTCCGTACTGTGAAGTAACTGAATCTATAAGAACACGTTCAGAAAGATAAACTTTGAGTTATTTTAAGATGAGTAAAATATGAAATAAAAATGAAAAAATGTTACCTGAGGAGTTCCTCAAGGCTCAATGTTTGGCCCATTATTGTTTACTTTATGCATCTTTTTTATATGAGATTTGTACTGAGTAGTAACTCTTAACATGATGATAGCTATATTATTTATGTAATCATTCAAAATGTTACGTTATACCTAAAGGCCTGGGACTTCATTATGTTAAAGCCAAGATAACAATCTTGGCTTTAACATAATTTATAACTAAAAACTCATCACAGGAGCTTTGAACTTAAAGGCTTCAGATCTTTTGGTATTCATCTTTAAGTTGTTTAAAAAGAGTCATGATTTAAAAGGAATACGTTTGGCACTAAACTGAAACTGTGCAGACGACATTTAAATCTGAGAGTTTAAGGAAATGAATGAATGAGTAAACCAGCAGATCAGATCTCTGGTTTGGTTTGGTTTAGACTTCTGGACAATTTAAAGTTTTCTCTGATGTTACTTTGGTATCTTCAGGAAGTATCACTAAAAAGGCTACAAGCTAAGAGCTGTAGCTTCTCCTGAGTGCATCTTCAAGTTGAATTTACTTATATCCCTTCTCTCTGTAAAGTCTCTTCCTCTCATCAGTTCTCTCGTGTGACCTCTCCTGCATTACGGCCCTCTGCAGATTGTTGTCTTCACGCTGGGAAACTAACACAGATTTGGAGCTGATCAAATTAAAGCTCCCTCCATCCAATTGTGTCTCATTAAAGCTGTCTGAGTTTTTCAGTTCTACATTGTTATTCTCTCTCTTCTCTCTTCTCTCTCTCTCTCCTGCCAATTCACTGTTTGTCTTTGATTTCACAGATCAGCGAGTATGACTGGAGCACTGTTTCCACGCCAAAGTCTTCAGGTCAGAAGGGAGCAAAATAGTAACATGATAGTGTCAAGATGCCGATCTTTTCCATCGGTCTGAAAATGTCCCGTCTGCTTCGCTCTTACTCACCAAAGGAGCAGGTGTGTCCACCACCTCCCTCCTGTTCTCAGCTTTGGGAGGAGACTCGCTGTCTAGGTTCAGCTTCTCCACAGAGATCTCTCTAAAGTGCAAACAAACATAAAAAGAAAACAAATGTTGGGTTTCTCAGATCAACAGAGAAACCAAAAAATCATAAATGATATTTAAAAGAAATATTAAAGCCAGTTTGTTGAAGAGATATAATGAAATGTGTTGACAAGGTGTTTTGTTTGTTTGGTGTTGTGATGACACAAACATTAGTTTGTGATCTGCTTTAAATATAAAATGAATTATTACCAAGGACCTACTAGGGGGCTGTGAGTGGCATACCCTCGATACATACCCTGCAATGTGTGTGTTTGTGTTGCCTGAGAAACTCGGTGTGTAGGCAGGTGCGTTGCCTCCGCTGGGGATTGCATTCCTGAGGAGGCGGACCCAGGTAGCGATGTCGACGTTCATCTGACGAGCTCGCAGGAAGGCTTTACCTGAAGCACGAGAAGAGAGAAGAGAAGCAAGAGAATAAAACCGGATAAATACAAGAAAGAGGGAAGTTGCTGCTACGTTTCATTATCTAGATCTCATTTTTTTGACACTTTTGTAGCAGAAATGCAGCTTCAAGGGTTTAACCAATCCGAAAAACAAGATTAGTGTCATGTACCTTGTTTATAAAAGCTGTTTTAGTCGAGGACTAGAGAGAAGAACATACTCACTGATTATTTGGATATTAGTAAGAGTTTTTAGATCACGCTCATTCTGTGTCAGTTTACATGAAATGTGAAGCTACGAGCTAACTAAAGAGCGCTAACATTAGAGTCATTAGAGACTAAAAGAGTTCTCGTCTTTATGCTTATTTAAAAAGCCAAATACATTGAAGTAGCATTGGCAAAATTCACAAGACTGCAGGTGATCTTAAGTGATCTTAACGGGGAGTTTATAACTGGAGAATTAGCAGTGTAGCTTTATCCCTGCTCATAAAGGGTTAAAAAGTCAGAGAAACTAAGTTACTCTCTTTCTTCTTGTTCTTGTAAAAAAGCTGCAGATCTCTAATGACCTGAAGAAAGGTCCCTAAAGGTGCGTCTGAGTAGCTCACTTTTTGTTTCCTCGTCTTTTTCAGCATCATGTTTCACTCTAATGTTCATACTAACGATGTGTACCTGAGGTGGAAAACGATGCCCTCTCTCTCTCTTTGCTGACGTGGGACAGATGGACCAAAGCCTCCCGTAGCTTTATGACGTGAGACGGCTGAGTTCGGCTGCATGACCAGCGTTTGCACGTCCAGTAAATGTTTGTAAAACCCAGTTCCAGAAAATACCAGAAGCCATTTATAATCCTTTTGGAGCAGCACTTAACGACTCTTTTGGCTTATTACTCCTTTAAACACGCTCTGCACGTGCACAGAACGACTCAGAAACAAACATGAGAAGAAGTGGTAACGAGGAGGCTGTTAGAATTATATTATTTCACTGACTTTGACCTCTTATCACTATGAATTCATGTGTTTATTTTCCTTAAACTGCATTCAGCCACCTTTACATGATAGCCATGTTGCTCCAATCTTGTTTCCAAATTCTGCTTCTTCAATGGAAACTCGTTCATATTGGTGTTCATTTGGTTTAAAAATTCTATTTTTTATAAACCGTTCATCGACTTTAATACATTTGAGAGGAACTTTTAACAGTTTTACTCATGAGGTTTAGTTTACTCGCTGTTGAGAAGAATTCTTAGTCCAAGAAAAACCAAACAGGAGCTCTCACCTAACTTTTTAATCTTAACCCTGATGATGTCACAGTGATGTCATCAGTGTAGTGTTTGAGTCAAGACAACACTAACCGAGACCAAGACATACCCGAGACCAGATTGTCAGAGACCGAGACAAGACCAAGAAATCTAGAGATCGAGGCCGAGTCAAGACTAAGACCATATGTATCAATAAATGATAAATATGTTTGGACGCTTGAACATACCGTGCTGTTTGGAGAAGACCTTCTTCTGCCTCTGCAGTCGCCGTCCTCTCTCGATTACAGGGTTGAAGAAAGTCACCTGAAACAAAACGTTAAAACGACACATTTCTCAATATGCACACGTTTGAGACATTCCCAATGTGTCCGTCTGTGTATGCTGGAACGTCTCATGATGGTGTTCAACTTTTTATTGTTGCTTGCCCTTTTGTTTATGGATGCAGCTTGTTTTGTGTGTGTGTGTGTGTGTGTGGTGTGTGTGTGTGTGTGTGTGTGTGTGTGTGTGTGTGTGTGTGGTGTGTGGTGTGTGTGTGGTGTGTGTGTGTGTGTGTGTGTGTGTGTGTGTGTGGTGTGTGTGGTGTGTGTGTGTGTGTGTGTGTGTGTGTGTGTGTGTGTGTGTGTGTCCTGTACCTCGGCCAGCAGCAGCCCCTGCGGCTCCAGCTCCAGCTTGACTCGATGTCTCTGGTTGTCCAGAAACTCTTCCAGCTTCAGATATTTCAGAGCACACAGGGAGCGGTAATCTCTCCAGTACACCGCGATCTCCATCTCTCTGGACTAACCACACAAATAACACCAAGGATGAAAAAAAACTACATTCAATATCAGGTCCAGATTCAAAAAAGTGCATCATGTCCACCAGATTTTACAGTGAATCCTGCATGTAGGCAGGTTGTGTTAACTTCAAACTCAAGGTGAACAATGTAAATAAAAACAGACTGAGGGGGTGGGCTGTGTCTTACTCTCTCCAGCTCCACAGTGAAGGTCTGCTCCCAGGCCTGCTCTCCAACTGTTTTCCAAAGTGTCTGACCCACAACGGTGTTCTCCAGCTTCAGCACTGAGCTCACCTCCGCTGGAAAAACAAACAAACACACACAAATAGACTTTTTCTTCTTCTGTCCAAAAACTCTCCAGGTTCACTCAGAACTGCAGTCCAAAATGGATTTTGATGGATTGATAGAAGGGAGATGTGGTACCTTAAAAAAGGCTTCTAATGCAACCAAGAAGTGTGAAGAAGAAGGAATGATCCATCTAAAGGTTTTTGTTAATGATAAAAAAAAAAGATGGAACTTACTGGAGAGCTCCTCGTTCTTGCCGGGGATCTTCAGGCTCATGCTGCTGGTGCTCCGGCTGTAGAGGCCGCTCAGTTTGAAGGACGAACGTCCGTCACCAGCAGTAAAAGAAGGAAGAACCACCGGGGTCCCTCTGCTGCGCCCGGGTACGACCTCCAGGAGCCCCAAACAGCCCAGGAGACGCACCTGAAGAGTACCTGGAAGGACAAGTTATCCATTAAAATAAAACTTAGCTTAAAACAGATAATACATCA